CATCCTTTCTGACAAGTGCAGCCTTTCACGAGGGCAAGAGGCACGATGAGGTTGGAAATGATGATTCTGAGGTCAAGAAGTCGGTTTTCATTTTCAAGATTCTGATTGCAAGATTCTGGCTATGCTTCAAAAGGCTTTGTTATGGCGTGGTGATGAAGAGAGGCACGGTGCAGACTGAGCAAGCTAACACTTCAAGTGAAATCGAAGGACATGACTGAAAAGAGAAGGTCGTTCTCAGAACTCTTCAAAAGAGGGACTATAAGTCGGAGCTGCATACGCTACAGGAATGAAAGGACCGAGAAATATGGAAAACTAGGATCACAGAGAAACCTGGTTTCCTAACGAGCTCTCTCGCCTCCACCCCATCGTGAGAGACGGACTGGTTTGTGTCGGGGGGGGGGGAGGCTTCGATGATGATGATGATGATGATTTGGGGATTTAGGGCGCATCGACTGCTAAAGGTCATGCAGCGCCCAAGGGGGAGGCTTCGAAGACGCAGCTTCCTGGGACAAGTGGTGCACCCGGTAATCCTCCCCAACAAGAGCCATGTAACCTCACTGATCATTCCGCACTGTCACCAGAAGGTCGGACATGCTGGACGCGGGCTCGCCTGGAAGCTGCCACGCCTGGAGTCGTGCGGCTACTGGACCATCGAAGGAAGGCGTTCTGTATCACGCCTGATCCTGCGACGTGTGAGCTGCAAGAAACTCTGGGTTAAGTCCCGAAGCAAAAGATGGGTGATCCATCATCACATGTTCATTCAAGGTCAGTGTCCCTGTTTGACCTTTTAAAGGTCATGATAACCAAAATCATACAGGACTGCTCTGAGTTTTGCATTTGAATAAACGACAAAGATCACGCAAGTCAGCATGCTTCTAAAACAAAATGCTGACATAGGTCATTTTAGGTTAATGATCTATTCTGACTTTAAAGAATTCATGGAAGATGTATAATGCGGTTTCTGCTATCAATAAAGTCGAAATGAGCACCAGAAACCATCTCATACAGCAAGCCCTGGTGTAATAAAACAGGCTGGTTTTGACCTTTGTCTGACCTTTATACCTGATCTAAGGTCAACGTAATTTGCTCATGCATCATTTGTGTTGCCTAAGAAAGCATCTCAGGAATGTATGGCCTCGTCTAACATTCTATTGTTGCGTCAGATTGAACGATTCCCTAGAAGTTGACTTCGCTGAAACCATGGCCTGCCTTTAACCTGCCATAGGCCAGCGACCTTACAAAGTACATGTAGATTGTGTTACGCTAAACGATCCGCTATTCAATTTTCTACAGCTATGCAAAACATGGCGCGAACGCGCCGCGTCGTTCGGAAACCATTCTGGAAAACCCTTTGTGGGGCGTGTCAATTTGCCCCCCCCCCCCCACCTGAGCGCGTGCTAAGGTCAATAAACTGCAGAAATCAGGCGTTTAACGACAGCGTTGAATAAGTCACCGGTGTCCTTGATTTGTCATGACTTAGTGGACTCCTAAACCGATGGAACTCAGAAGCTTTTTCATGCTTTATCTCTGCGTTCTACAATGTGGACATCGCGAAGGTAGATTGTAGATCGATCTGTTTGATGGAAATGAGCTGATATTTGCTCATATTTAGCTCCAGTGAGCCAGATATTAGCATTTCGAATCTTACAATGTGTCGACCTGGCGGAAATTCCTGGCGGAATATCACCGCATGGCCAATAGAATGGCGGAAATTCACTAATGCTTTTATGGTCTCATGGACGCTTCGGTGCCTTGAAATGGGTTTTTCGAACCAGTTTGCACATTTTCGCGGGCGTGTTGCTAAGAGACCAGACAAGTGTAGGTCTTTAGGAGATGAATAGTAGGGCTCCTATGCTATCTTAACGCTTTCCCACAGACCTCGAATCTGAACCGGTTTTCACATCCGTGCGTTCGACCACTTCTGGTCAAACTACGTCTCCGTAACATCCCACCGGCTACAGCTGAACGGCTTGCGTCCTATCTGGTTGCAAACGTGGTCAGTTGGCTTCTGCATTGGGAGTCCAGACATGTAACGTGAGGATATCGCTTCGCGTGGGTAACATATTGCGCACAGATGACACCTGAACGACTTCATCGGGCGGTCAGACGCATCGGGTGAGGTTGAACGCATCGCTTGCTCGAAACGATCTTATCATCCGGCAAAGCCGAGCCAACCAGCTTCTCTTGCGGCTGGCATTTTACGTGCTCCGAGAGACCATCTTGATCGGAACACTTGACCTTCTATTTCAATCAATCTATTTTAAAACGTTTACATAATTCACAATACCGAAATATTTCAAAATGACTCCATGCTTCACAATATCCAATCCTTCACAATAAATTAAAACTTTCCCGCAGACATACGCTGTGAACAAGCTCCATGAGCAGCGTTCTAGAATAAGTGGACATGAATGTGAGCGTGGCACAGTCACTCGTCGCAGCAACACGTTATCCGCCATGGACCACGCGCGCGAAAGACCGCACCAATGCCACAAATCCGACACCAATTCGGTGGGAGAGGGGTTAATGCCACCCCACCCCCCCCCCCCCTTCCCCAGTGAGATCTCAACAACTGAGGGAGTGAGAGACCATAAATTCACCAAATAGATGGGGTGAACGAGAGCTCACTTGGGTCAAACTTTTAGGTCAGTAGGTCATGATCTGAAGATCAAATGCCACTCATCAGTGGTGTCCAAAGATTCCTCAGCCCTTCCCATACTACCACATTTAACTGAATAATCCTTCTAACAAAGATTCCATGTTGTTGGTTCCAAGTTCATGACCGTGTTTGCCTGTACAAGGTAAGTAACCAAAAACCTGCGGTATCGTTCTAACTTTCAAACATTAAGTAGCGCCAAGAGTTACGCTAAGAACTTTCCTAACACAACACTTTGATTGGGGTCATCCTAGGTCACTTACTTTTCAGGCCTTTTGAAGTTAACATAGTTGTTCGCCTCCCTGTAGTCAAGAAACTCGAAACGGGTGCCAAAACAATCCAAGAAATAAAGGAATCCAGTAGCAAACGAAACTGGTTTTCGCCTCGCACCTGACCTTATGTGACCTAAGGTCAATGGATTAGTCCCATTCCTAACTTTGGTCACAGTATTTAAAAGTCTCTGAGATGTATGCGGTCGTGCAACACCCCACTGCAGCCAAGGATTAAACGATTCCCACGGAGTTGTCTTCCATGACGCCAATAGCCTGACTATGAAACATGTCGGCATACGAAGTTACATGGTGCCACTAATTTTTGATAATTATTTAAACAATTTTTATAACTTAAATAATGCGACAAACGGCATTTCTTAGGCAGCAAGAGATCGGCTTTTTAGTTGGCTACCATTGCGCAAAGTTTAGCGCTGCTAGGTTGTCCCATTCAGAAGTTGATTTCAAACGCATTCGAAGAGCGAAGTTGATCGCAACACCAGGACGCGTGTTGATAGCTAAATAATTTTTCACCGAAGTGAACTAACGTGCGCCGTAAATTTCGGATATTACGACTGAATGGTTTCTAACTGGTATGGCTCCGAATGTGCACCGTAAGATTCCTATTGGTACTGAACGCCTTACCACAGACATGAACACAACGGTCTCCCACCGGTGCGCGTGTCCGTAGATGCTTCGTCACAATCCCTATCTGAATGAACGACTTGTCACAAACTTCACACTAAACGGCGCCTCTCCTGTGTGATTACGGAGGTGAATATTAAGGGTTCCGTGGCGACTGAACGCCTTCCCACAGACCTCACACCTGAACGGCTTTTTATTTGTGTGAGTACGGAGGTGGCAAGTAAGACCCCATTGTTTGACTGAAAGCCTTTCCACACACATTACAACTGAACGGTTTTTTCACCTGTGTGAGTACGGAAGTGCCTATCAAGGGTTCCATGTTGACTGAACGCCTTCCCACAGACCTCACATCTGAACGGTTTTTCACCTGTGTGAGTACGGAAGTGCTTATTAAGGGTTTCATGTTGACTGAACGCCCTCCCACAGACCTCACATCTGAACGGTTTTTCACCTGTGTGAGTACGCAAGTGCTTATTAAGGCTTTCATGTTGACTGAATGCTTTTCCACAGAACTCACATCTGAACGGTTTTTCAACTGTGTGAGTACGGAGGTGGCGAGTAAGGTCCCCACGTTGAATAAACGCCTTCCCACAGATCTCACAACTAAACGACTTTTCACCTGTGTGAGTCCGAAGGTGGCAAGTAAGGCCCCAACGTTGCATAAAGGCCATATCACAGACTTCACACTTGAACGGCGCCCTACCTGTGTGAGTACGGAGGTGGTTATAAAGAATTCCATGTCGACTGAACGCCTTCCCACAGACCTCACACGTGAACGGTTTTTCACCTGTGTGAGTACGGAGGTGGTGAGTAAGGTACCCATGTTGACTGAACGCCTTCCCACAGACCTCACATCTGAACGGTTTTTCACCTGTGTGAGTCCGGAGGTGGCAAGTAAGGCCCCAATGTAGACTGAAAGCCTTTTCACAGATCTTACAACTGAACGGTTTTTCATTTGTGTGGATCCGAAAGTGGTTAGTCAAGTTGGCATGCAGCCTGAAAACCTTCCCACAGACCTCACACCTGAACGGCTTTTCACTTGTGTGAGTACGGACGTGGCAAGTAAGACCCCATTGTTGACTGAAAGCCTTTCCACACACATTACAACTGAACGGTTTTTCACCTGTGTGAGTACGGAAGTGCCTATTAAGGGTTCCATGTTGACTGAACGCCTTCCCACAGACCTCACATCTGAACGGTTTTTTCACCTCTGTGAGTACGCAAGTGCTTATTAAGGCTTTCAAGTTGACTGAACGCCTTCCCACAGACCTCACAACTAAACGGTTTTTCACCAGTGTGAGTACGGAGGTGGTTATCCAGGGTTCGAGGTCGACTGAACGCCTTCCCACAGACCTCACAACTAAACGGTTTTTCACCTGTGTGAGTCCGGAGGTGGCGAGTAAGGCTTCCAAACTGACCGAACGCTTTCCCACAGACCTCACAACTAAACGGTTTTTCACCCGTGTGAGTGCGGAGGTGGTTTTCCAGGGTTTGATGCCGACTGAGCGCCTTCCACAGACCTCACACCTGAGCGGATTTTCACCTGTGTGAGTACGGAGGTGCCGATTAAGGTGCCCAGGTCGACTGAACAGCTTCCCACAGATCTCACAATTGGAAAGCTTTTCACCAGTGTGCGTCCGACTATGTTCGGTAAAACTACGACGGCATCTCAGTAACTTCCCACAGACTTTACAACTGAGCGGCTTGCTGTTAGCCTGGTTCCCCTGATCATTTGGCTTCCGGTCTGTGTGGATTCGAACATGCAACACGAGGGTATCGCTTCGCTCCAATAAAATGTTGCAAAATGTTGACTTCATCGAGCGGTCAGACTCTTCAGTCTGACTTTGAGCGCAATGTTTGTTTGAAACGATTCGATGATCCGGAAGGGCTGAGCCAAGCGACTTGTCTTGGTGCTGGCATTTGTCTTGCTCTGAGACACCATCTTGATAGGAACGTTCGAACTTGCGGTACTCACAACAAAAGAGAACAGCATCTGAAAACACAGGCGTGGCGGTAGATCAAGAGCGCCGACTTTCGCCATTACTTCAGGCGCACTGCTAACGTAAAGCTAATGGAGGGCATGCAACGTTGCATTGCCGTGACATCGAGCACGAACATCCACGTGACACGTGACACGTGACATCACGTGACATCTGCACGTGACATCCACAGCGTCTTGAAAAAATTGCACCCTTCATAGAGGTGACTGCGCCCTCTTGTACCAAATTCAACCTCAATGTTTTTACCGGTTGCGTGGTCACATGTCGCACAGTGCTCTTTAAAACACGGTTGCAGAATCTTAAAGAAATAACATACCATTCATGTCGCTACGATGCAACCTGCAGACTCAACTCTCGTATGGAAGGACGGATACTTTTCTTGGCTCAGAAATTCTTTTAAGTGTGCACTGTTGCAATTGCAGCGTTCTTATACCTTATCGTAAAGAAGTTGTTAATCATCAAACTCGAAGAAAGAAAGCAACACACCTGTTCAGGGACCAAGTGTTAATACCATCCCCGCTAAAAAGGCATACACACCGGGTTGTTGCTACTTGGGGCTCATGCTTCAGACCGATCCCGCGGAAATTGATTGGGGTAGGCTGCCTTGTAGTAGTGGCAACTCCAGGCTTAGAAATAGATGGTTCATTCCAGTGGAAGAGCTAGCGACCAAACTAAGAGCATTTTCAGGAAAATTCCAGCCACTTCAGAATAACGACCTTTTGAAGACTTCAATGTTTTCAAAATCGAGCTCGGCGCACTTTTTCGCGCCGCCTCATTTCTCGCCGACCAGAGACGCATGAAACCATACAATCGAACCAACTGGACGTCCTCAATGGCCATGCTACATCATGGGTCAAGACAACTTTGACAATTACTTATTTGTAGCTGGAGTACGTCAGCACGAATCGTGACATCAACGGATAGCAGTCGCCGCATCAACGGACTATGTCAAGGACGTATACCTGCCGTGCGAGATGAGAAGCCATTAGCTGCCTTCAGTAGATCCTCATCTGAAGCCGACAATGCCAAAGGATCGGGCTTAATATCATGGGGAGCGTCTGAAAAAGTAGCATCATAGATGACCACAAATCATCATGTGTGCCACATGTTTTGCAGCCATTTCTGCTGGACTGGACTGGACTTTCTTGGGGAGTGAGAGACCGCCTCTGCCTTCATGATAAATGCAAGCAAATGGTGGATTACGAACGCAAATGTACTGGTCTGACTGCGTACGACCCGAGCAACAGGAAGTTTTCATCCCTGACCACGTTCCGTTCGCCACACCAAAGATAGTGCGTAGTTCTCCTTCACGGTGATACTGATGCCGATCCGTACGACCGCTTTTCAAAACCTCATCTGAATTCGTACCTAATATCCCAGCCGAGCCACCGACCGCGCTGAAGGCATCCACTTGTGCAGGCGAGAGTGTCAGCGGATCTGGCTTGATATCAGGCTTGACATCGGGACCTGCAGAAGTATTCGGAGTGAGCGACAGCCAAAATGGCTCTAGGGTCAACAGTTCCGTTAGCACAGGGAATACAGCATGAAAACATATAAATATTGGCATGTCTTAAAGAGGAGAGGGTAGCCATTAATCATAGCCAGGTTAATTTTAAGCCTAGCCAGGTCCTGAAGTCCTGTTCTATTAACGTATTGTACGAGTCCACTTTTATAAAAGGTAAGAAAAAAACGAAATTTTCCCCTTCTTTTCATAACAACTACGGGGCACTCAACTATTTTTCCTCTGATCCGCCTGGAAATGCACAGGAGACTTTAATACCAGGAGGCAGGTGACTAATGGGGGAGGAAGGGGGGGGGGGGGGGGGGGGCAGGCGGATAGAGAGCGTGGAAAAAGGAGATCCGTCGTCCTCACAGTGAAAAGAATCGGCAGAACGGCGTTGCTGTGCAGATATGTTGGGATATGCAGCTGTGCCAGCATACTGCAAGCCACCAGCACCATCGTTATCATAATCATTATATACTGAAGATGATGAGACGTCATCACAATACTCCTGTTCCATGATTATCGAGGTGATTAATATCTCAGACATTAATTAAATTCACTCTAAATATAAGCTAACCTTTTACACACAAATACAGCTTAAAGTTAGCCCAAAATTTACTCTTGAAGCGTCAGCTACCAATACGGGATGGCAATAAAACAGCAACATTTCCAGAACATCTTACCATCTTACTTCAAAACATCATGGCTCCGAAAATCACGGTAGACGTCGGTCAGACGTCGATCTGTCACACTGACGGCGCGATACTGACGCATCAAGGTTATTCCGACAGATAAACAAGCGTTTGATTTTCTAACTTGGAGTCTGTGCCGGAGCTGCCCTCTTGCCCCGCCCTTATTGCGATAGCCATGCTGCACTCAGTGGAAATCTTCTCCCTCTTGTCTTATCTTAATGTCAGCCGGAGGGGGAAGTGGTCACCTCCACCTGGACCGTGGTCCACCTCCCAAGAAATGCAAATTGCGAGTTCTGAAATGCATGCGGAGAGGTCGATGACAGAGTTGTTACCAGATGGTAATGTAGTATGCGTGTTGCGTCGTGTTCAGCACACATAAACGTTTCAAAACCAGCATTCCGCTTATATTCTTCTGTCCGACGCCTGGAACATTGCGACGGCCGGTTTAAGCGGATTTTTACCACACATTTCGACTGGACGTTATCCTAAAGTACTTGTGTTAAACATCTCACTCGAAAAAGGAAAGAATACACCTGCTCCGGAACCCAGTCTTAATGCCATGTCTGCCAAAAGACACACCCATCGGGTGGTTGTTATTTTGGTCCACACTCCAGACAGACCACGCGGTTACGTGAGTACCCCGTCAGACAGCGGCCAAATGATGCTTGATTCGAAGGAAAGCTGCCCTGCAAAAGTGGAAACTCCAGGCTGAGAAACAGATGGGTCATTCCCATGGAGGAGCTAGCGGCGGAGCTAAGAGCCACTTTCAAGGTCATTTCAATCACACCATAGCAATTAACTTTTGAAGACTTGAAATCCTTTCGATATTGTGCTAGGCGCACGCGAACGGCTGCAACCTGTTTCGTACCGCCTAACTTGAAGACGACCAGCCATTTAGGACGCCATATGAACTAGACACACATTCTGTCCCCTCAATGGGCAGATAATGTTCGGGGAAGACCAATATCGCAATGACTTTTCGTCGCTAAAGTGCGTCCGCGCGAACCGTTACATCAACGCGGAGCAATCGTCGCATCAACGGACACTTAAAAATTCATACCTGCCGTGGTAGATAAGCAGCCATTTCTTCCTTTCAGTTGATGCTCATCTGTAGCCGACAATGCCAACGGATCAGGCTTGATATCATAAGTGTCTGACAAAAAGGAAAATAAAAAACAGCATTACCCACAGTCAGTCCGTGGACACAATGAAAGAACCGCAAAAAGGACTGTGTTGTTGTGCAGAGATGTTGGGGCGACGCATTATTATTATGTTGCTTTTGCGGACATGCCTTTCATATATACACATACACGTTACACATTCTTACCTTCCATAAGTGGAATATAGGCCAGACACTACCCCAAGATCCTTTCTGCCTTGAGTTTATAGTAAATAAAGTGCAAATGTAGGCGTTAAATGACTGCATAACATACATTGCCGGTGCTCTTATCGTTACAATGACTAAGTGAACTCTTTTTAAACAAATAGAGCTCAAAAACTTTGTCAGAATTTCCATCTGGGTTGTAGACAGACAGCAAGGATTCCGTGAATGTAGATTTCAAACCAAAATGGGTAACATTTCGTATTAACATGGCCAGGTCATCACAGGCTCGGCGCTCGCCCCCGGGGTTATTTGCAGTGGCCAACGCCGTTCGGTTTTACGAAAACTGCGACCCAAGCCACCGCTATACTACTCCCCGAGATTACGGGCGCGCCATTGGGGCTTTGTGACGCACCAGCTGCTTGGGCCATGTGGCGCCGCAAGCCTCTCACCCAGCCGGAAACGGCGGGCACCGCGGGAAACCGAACCCCGTATCTTCGGTGTCTCAGACGCCGCAATGGTACCTTTCCAGCATATTTGTTTCGCTCGTCGATTGCGCAATATCATGAACGTTTTCAGGGAAACATGGGATGGCCCTGTGCGCGCCGAACTCATTTCGACCCCCTCCATTCAACGCTAATGAGACTACTTATTTCTTTCCGATAAAGGAATCCATTCATCACCATTTTACGGGGAACACTCGTTCCCGGTGAAGGACTGAAGCAGCATTCCATCCCACCGCGGTATATTTTCCTTCCGTCATTCCGGCGACACGGGGCGGCATCCCCCAGCGGATTCGGAGGCTCTCAGACGGATACGTAACATCACATTGGTCCACTCCCTGACATGGCGACCTTCTACCCGCGCAGTTGACTTCGGATCGACGCATGAACCATCATCGACGCCACAACATCCCTGTTCGACGCAGGTCATCAAATAATTGGCACAAAGACCCCGGTTGGGTTTAACGGGGCCCATGCTGGAAGATTGGAGGGCCCACCGCTCCGCACTGAGACCATGATTGGCATATGATTTTTCTATTACCCCCATGTGGGCACTCATCATAAGTTCTCATGCTTCTTCCAATTCTCAGAGCCCCGACCAACGCAATAGACACTTTGCCATTGGGGCTCCCACCCCCGTCCCTGTTGAGCCAATCTTCCCCTGGCCGATTTGAGGCCCCTTGTTAACACAGAAAGCCTTGTTAGGCACTGTGGGTCCCTGAGCGATAAAGGGGCGCGACCAATATAAATCGCGGCCCGACACTGTTCCTGCTTGGGAAATGGGCCCCCTGATCTCGGATCAACACGCAGCAGACTGTTCGTTGTTTGTGATCTCTGGCCGAAATACAGGAACGCTCTATCTCAGGGGTCCCTATCGATGCAAGAGATCATTCAAGATCATGGCCCCGCGGGCGGGGTTCGCTGTGACGAACAGCCAGCCGTTCGGACCCTTCAGTCATACCATCGGGCCCTTGATCTTTGGTCTTGAGAGACCCTTCGGCCTCTCTTGGGGCCCCCTCAAACACCGCTCCGACATGCGGCCACTCAATCAATTTTGAGCGAAGTACCATGACGTAACCAAACCATGACACACTGAGGGACGCATTTACTAAACAGCGAATTGTACTGTCTTGAGCAGTCTTCGCCAGTTACGAGAAGCATACCAGTTAAGAAAAGCATACATACATATAGTTACAAATGAGCTTGTTTCATCTTATCTGGTGCTTGTTTCAGTATCCTCAAACGTGAAACCTTCCATTTATATGTAAGCGAGATGGCGAAATAAATGCTTTTAGACACATCCATGTCGTATAAAGAATCGCAGACTTTTATATGGATTCACATAAATTGCATCAACCCTGACCCTGCTAATGAGGGGACGATGCACTCTAACCATCCCCCTCCCCCCTCCCCCCACTTCCGAGGTTTTTAAAGATATCTTTCTGGAACGTGCGATCGCGCCGAATGGTTCGGTATTCTATGGCCATTCATGGTGTGTGTTTTGGCATCAAAATGTTTTTCTATCAGTCTGATTTCTGAAAAGTCAAGTTTTTGTCGGAATACTGCATGGTGGTCCACGGCCGGCGCGGGCGGCAGACGGCAACCGACGTATCCACCGATGGCTCAAGGCGGCCCACATTGTTGCGGCAAAAGTACTATGCATAATAACCATGTGTTCTGAACACATCCAGTACTTTTTTATAAGGTCAGAGTAAGGTCAAAACCAACCTGTTTTATTGCTCTAGGGCTTGCTGTATGAGATAGTTGCTAGTGCTCATTTCAAATTTACTGATGGCAGGAAACACACAATACACTTTCCATGGTCTTCTTAGATGTCAGAAAAGGTCATTGACCTAAAATGACCCAGGTCAACATTTGTCTTTAGAAACACATTGCCTGGTGTTACCTTTGTTGTGTATTCAAGTGCAAAATTCAGAGCAGTCTTGTATGATTTGTGTTACAATGACCTTCAAAAGGTCAAACAAGGCCACTGACCTTAAGTCAGCATGTGACCTTTTCCTTAGAAACATTTATCTAAGTTATGAGGGCACTTCAGAGACCAACCTGGAATTTGACCTTGTTTGGCCTTATTTGACCTGAACATCTTGGCCTAAGAACCTCAAACTTGAACTTGAGTGAGTCAAGTACAGGCCAACCCACCCTATGAATTTGGTGTCCCTAGCTCCCTTAGGTCCTGAGATCTCAGGGGGTAAAATTCACCCCCACCCTAGCAAAGGGTATCTGGCCAGTCACCCAAGCATGTGTTAAAACTGGATATCATTACAGGCTTCGCAGAGTTGTACTGAATGAACTGCACCACTTGTCACCACAACAGTGTCCTGCAAACATAAACAACACTGTTTATTTTGTATGAGGTTTAGTAGGTTAGAGCCAAACTCCAAGAAACCAGGACATCAGTGGATGAGCCATGGGAACAATCAGATTAATTGGTAGGAACTTTGAAATGGAAAGAAGAATGACTGGAACATGCCCAAAAGTCAAAGACCTAAAACGCCATCAGGCAGCATGCACATGCAAAAAATCCACACCTTACCAAAGAAATATTATACAGACCCTGTTAGATCCAGTTAGATTCTGTACAATCCTACACCCCATCATTTGCTTACTATGATTATGCATGGCAAACCCAACTCCCCTGGTTTTCATATTCAGGCCAGGTCAAATATGCAAAACCTTCACTTATATTCCCTGTCACATTTTGTACAACTTTTTCCATGGTGTCACATTTTTTCCAACATTTTCCACTTTTCATTGCACATAGGCAATGAGGATAGATTGATTCTAACTTAGAAACAAAATTTTGACAGTGACTAATAGTGTGCATGCGCTAAAATTTGTTCCATCATGCTTCTGCTACACCTGATATCTTCATCTAAGATGGATATTTTAAAGTGTTGTTCACATCTAGAATTCAGACTAGCTGAAATCAATTTGTAATGGCAGGCATGAAAAGTAAGACATAAAGAAATACAATCAAGATGCAAAAATGGCATGTTTGCTGGGCATGACCACCATAATTAAGCACCTACCTACCATAACAGAAATTCTACACACCTACACGTGCATGCCAATCACCACATCCCAGCACCGGCATCCTAGCCTTCCCGCCATGTGGATGAAAATATGTCTGAAGGCCCTGTATTCCAGGATATATCAAACGCACACTCACCCATCAGAAAATAATGTTGCTGGTCGTTGGCTACAAAAGCTTCGCTAAGGCGATATCGTTTCGCTAGGGACGTTTCGAAATCGCCCTCCCATAACCAGGTGGGAGTAAGGGTGGTGAAACCGTCCGATGATTGTACAGACAAATTCACTGATTCGGAGCATGACGTCATTGGAGTATTTACCCGATGGGCGCTGCGCGGACTTCGCCTGGCGAAGCAACGGCTTTACAGCAGCATGCAAATAGAATATAGGCATATAAACTCTGAATCGAATACCTATTTTTAAGCTGCAGAGATGTCGACGCTGTCGAAAGACACCATTTTACAAGAAGTGTTCTCGGTGCAGATTCGAAAGAATTAGCCTTCCCTGCAACTGCATCGTTCGCACGTCTGCATGTGGGGTCCTTCAGCAGGTCCGGTTCATGCAGTAAGGCTTACTGCGCCTGCGCCTTTGATGTCGCAAGTTTCTGAGCTATCCACCCGCGGGTGCTAGCGCCTTCCAGCCAGGCCAGCCTGGAGTCTAAACCGCCTTGGATCCTGGACCTACAATTCCAGATCAGCTTGACCGGATAGCCAGCGATGCGTTGGTTCTGAGCCGAAATTGTTGTCACGGTATTACAAAATGAGGTTTCGGGTGCACAGTCCGAACACGGCTTCCCTTGTGATCTCAGCAGCCTCCACGCAGAGTCCGCCCCACGTGTTCAAAGCCTAGTCAGCCTGTCCCACCAGACTGCATGTGGGTCAGAGATGGACACCCACATGGGGCAGTCTTGGCTGCCCATTTCAGTCCCACGTGGGCATATCACGGGCAGGTAACTGGGTCCAAAAAACAGCCCACCTAGGGCCTAGATCGGACCATGCGGGAGCTACATGTGCTTCACCTGGACCTGTCCTCCAAGATCGCCGCTGTGGGATGACATCGCTTCAGTGGTAGATGGCGCACAAAACAAAGAGCGCCGTTCTTGTGAGCGAGATGGTGGCGTGAGATGGCGCTCGTGATGGCGTTCATGGTGCCGCGGGGTGATTGGCGGTGGGCGGCTATTGTGGCGCCTCTCAGCATGTGATCAGGCCACGAAGTGCCAGGGACGCGTCCGCGAAGAGTGAGTAACTAGCGACTTTAACGTTTGTTTATTATTGTTTCAAGTCATTATGTGTGTTCATAGGTGTAGGAACGTTTCAAAAAGTGTGGGGGGGGGGGGGGCAATCTCAGGGCGTACCTCAAGAACTTTTCTGGAAAACAAGCCCGAGGACCCGGAGAGGGGGAGGTAAAGATGGAGGTTATCACTCTTTATTGTAATGACTGCTATTCTAGATATGCATCTAGAGCTGTTTCTCACTGATGCACACGCTTGCCTATCCGACTCATCTATGTCATTCGAGAAATAAGGCTTTCCAGCTTCCCAAGGTAATTCGTCCATTTCAACGTTGCCTGTCCTGGGCAGCCGAAATTCCACGAGCGGGTATTTCGTCGTCCACAATGACGTGATCTGTTTCTGGGTGTACGCAGGGGGTAGCCAGAGCCTTGCTAGGAGGAACATAGGGTTGACAAAAGCCCCCTTTATGGTGATCCCCCTACATTTTTTTTATTAGCATTTGAGTCTTACAATTTGTTGGCATGGATCACCGCATGGCCAATAGAATGGCGGAAACTCACTAATGCTGTTATGGTGTCATGGATGCTTCGGCGCCTTGAAATGGTTTTCCCGAACCAGTTTGCACATTTTCGCGGGCGCGTTGCTAAGAGACTAGACAAGTGTAGGTCTTTAGGAGATGAATAGCTGGGCTCCTACGTTATCTTAACGCTTTCCCACAGACCTCGAATCTGAACCGGTTTTCACCTCCGTGCGTTCAACCACTTCTGATCAAACTACGTCTCCGTAACATCCCACCGGCTACAGCTGAACGGCTTGCGTCCTATATGGTTCCAAACGTGGTCAGTTGGCTTCTGGCCTGTGTGGATTCAGACATGCAACGTGAGGATATGGCTTCGCGTGGGCAACATATTGCGTACACATGACACCTGAACGACTTCATCGAGCGGTCGGACGTATCGGGTGAGGTTGAACACATTGCTTGCTTGAAACGATCTTTTCGTCCGGCAAGGCCGAGCCAACCAACTTCTCTTGCGGCTGGCATTTTACGTGCTCCGTGAGACCATCTTGATCGGAACACTTGATTCAAATTCATCTTTTTCAAAACATCTACATAATTCACAATACCTATATATTTCAAAATGACTCCATACTTCACTGCATCCACATATTTCACAATATCTACGTCCTTCACGTCACCGAGATCGAAACTTTCCACAGACATACGTTATGACAAGCTCCACGGGCAGCGTTCTAAAATAAGTGGACACGAATGTGAGCGTGCATATCACTCGTAGCAACAAGTTTTCCGTCAATGACCCTAGTGCGGCTAGAATGACGTCAAAAAGACGTCATTTCGGTGGGGGAGGGGTCGATTTGCCCGCTGAAACCACAATAACTAAGGGAATGAGGTACTAAATTCCCCCACACAGATAGGGCCTGCATGATAAGGTTAAAAAGGCGAAACTCATTAGCGGTGTCGAAAGTTCTCTCAGACCTCCCCATGTTACTACTTTCAACCTGGATAATTTTGCTGGCAAAAATGGAATGCTATTTCCAAGTCAATACATTTATTCGTCCTTTACAAAATAAGTAAACAGAAGCTTGCAATCGTCTTTTGACTTTTAAATATCAAGTAGCATCAACGATTAGGCTACGAGGTATGCTCCTAAAAACAAGTTTGAGTGGGATCATTCCAGGTCAGTGACTTTCCAGACCTGGTAATGGTCAACATCTTTAATCGCCTTCCTGTAATAAAAAACTCGAAAAATAAAAAAACGAAACTGGTTTTCGCCTCGCACCCGACCTTATCTGATCTAAGGCCAATGGAATAAGTCGTAATCCAAATTCAGTTACAGTATTCAACAAAACCGTCTGAGATGTACGCTGTCGTTTAACACTCCGCTGTTGCATAGGATAAAACGATTCCCAGGGAGCTGTGTTCCATAACGTCCGCAGCCTTACTTTGACCTGTCAGGGAAGCGACCTTACAAAGTGCGACTAAATTTTCGGCACCCAAAAATCGGCTATTCAGTTTACTACAAGTGTAGAAAATTTTAGCCGGCTATATTGTGCCGTTCAGAAGTTGATTTGGTGATACATTCCAGGGGTTACGCTGGCCGTATATCAAATCGCGCGTTATGATAGCTAGATAATTTTTCACCAATGGGAACTGACGTGCACCGTAAAGCTCCACCATTTTCTAGCTGGCATGTCTTCGAATGTGCATCATAAGGTTTCCATGGGTACTGAACGCCTTCACACAGACATGACAACTCATCGGTTTCTCAGCGGTGTGTTCCAAGATGTCTTGTTAGGATCCATACCTGATTGAAGGCCTTCCCACAGACCTCACAACTGAAAGGTTTGTCACCTGTGTGAATCCTGAGGTGGCGAGTAAGGCTCCCTTGCTGACTGAACGCTTTCCCACAGACCTTACAACCGAACGGTTTTTCACCTGTGTGAGTCCGGAGGTGGTAAGGAAGGTACCAATATCGACTGAACGATTTCCCACAGACCTCACAACTAAATGGTCTCTCACCTGAGTGAGTTCGCAGATGGCAAGTGAGCTCCCCACGGTAACCGAACGCTCTGCCACAGACCTCACAACCGAACGGTTTTTCACCTGTGTGAGTCCGCAGGTGACGAGTGAGGCTCCCTTGTTGACTGAACGTGTTCCCACAGACCTTGCAACTGAACGGTTTTTCACCTGTGTGAGTCCGGAGGTGGTGAGTGAGGCACCAACGTCGATTAAACGATTTCCCACAGACCTCGCAACTAAATGGTGTTTCACCTGTGTGAGTCCGGAGATGGCGAGTGAGGCTCCCACGATGATTGAACGTTTTCCCGCAGAACTCACAACTCAACGGTTTTTTGCGTTTGTGAGTCCGGAGGTGGCGAGTAAGGTTCCCATGGAAACGGAACGCTCCCTCACAGACCTCACACCTGAACGGTTTTTCACCTGTGCCAGCGCGAAGGTGGTGAGTGCGGCCCCCATGTTGACCGAGCGCTTTCCCAGAGGCCTCACGACTGAGCGGTTTCTCACCTGTGTGAGTCCGGAGGTGGTTAGCGAGATTGCCATGCCGACTGAACGCCTTTCCACAGATCTCGCAATTGGAAAGCTTTTCACCAGTGTGCGTCCGACTGCGTTCGGCCAAAATACAACGGCATCCCAATACCTTCCCACAGACTTTACACATGAGCGGCTTGCTGTCGGCGTGGTTACCGTGATCAGTCGGCTTTTGGCCTGTGTGGATCCGAACATCCAACGCGAGGGTATCGCTTCGCTCGAACAAAGTGTCGCAAAATGTTGACTTCATCGAGCGGTCAGACTTTTCACTCTGACTCTGAACGCAGTGTTTGTTTGAAACGTTGCGTTCATCCGGAAAGGCCGAGCTAAGCGTGTCTTGGTGCTGGCATTTTACTTGCTCAGAGACACCATCTTGATCGGAACGTTCGAACTTGCAGTATTCACAACACAAGAGAACAGTATCTGAAACAAAGGCCTAGAGTTACACCATAAGCGCCGATTTCCGCCATTCCTTCAGGTGCGTTGCTTATGTAAAGCTAACGGAGGGTATACAAAGTTGCATTGCCGTGACATTGAGCACGGACACAGTCACCGCTCTTG